AGCCCAAAGCCTAAGCCCTAAACCCTAAACGCTTAACCCCAAACCCCTAAACCCCTAAACCCCTAAACCCCTAAACCCCTAAACCCAAAACCCTTAACCCGAAACCCCTAAACCCCTAAACCCCTAAACCCTGAAACCCTAAACCCCCAAACCCCTAAACCCCTAAACCCCCTAAACCCTCAAACCCTGAAGCCCTAAACCCCTAAACCCTATGAATCCCTAAACCCCTAAAACCCTAAACCCCTAAACCCTGAAACCCTAAACCCCTAAACCCTATGAATCCCTAAACCCCTAAACCCTATGAACCCTGGGAGACCAGAGCCCCCGAGGTCGCCTCTACAAGGTGTTGATGATGGCGGTGCTGGCAGACGAAAAGGCGAGGCTGTCGGGGTTTTATGTAGGGCTTTAGTTTTAGGGTTTAGGGTTTAGGGTTTAGGGTTTAGGGTTTAGGGTTAAGCGTTTAGGGTTTAGGGTTTAGGGTTTAGGGCTTTAGGGCTTTTTAGAGCTGTAGGGTTGAGGTTTTTTTTGAGTGTTTAGGAGTTTAGGGTTTCAGGGGTGTTTAGGGTTTTAGGGTGTTAGGGTTTTAGGGTTTAAGGTTTAGGGTTTAGGGTTGGGCGGGTTAGCGGTTTGAGGCTTGTAGGGTCCTTAAGGGCTACAAGCGTTTCAGGTTTGGGGCTAGGACTTCCAGAGTGGGAGCCGCCGGCACACGAGCTTTTTCCGTTTCCCTCCTTTGTTTCCGTTTTGTTTTCTGTTTGACAAAGGTCTCGCTTCCATTCCGTTTGCCGATTGTTCTCTAGTTCCGTTCGGGCTTGCATTCAACTTCCACCGTCGATTTCGCTTACAGTCGGTGAAACCAAAACAGCAGCAGAAACAGAAAACCGGGCACCCACCCGACACAGGCACGACATGGAAGAACATGGAGCAACCCGTCTTTTGTTGCGGGGCAGGGGTGCCTGATTTGCTGTTTCCGGCTCCGTTTTCGGTTCTCAACCGCCCCCTAAGCCTTGCTGTCTCGGGTTCCGTTTCCGGTTTTGGTCCCCGGTGGCTTCCGTTTCGGCGTCTGCTCCCTTTCCGGCTTTCCACTTCAAGTTTCGGCGAGCAGAAGCCGAAACGGAAGTGCCCGCAGGAAAGAACAGCAGCAAGGAAAAGTGAAACCGAAGGACACAGCAAAAGGAGGTCCGCGAGCGAAAAGAAGAGAGGGCATCAACGGAAACATGCTTGCGTCACTGTTGCATACGGGAGGCCGCAAGTTCAGGGTTGAGGGCGGGGGCGGGTATTTTGAGGCTTACTTAATGCTTTTTGGACGACAAAACCCAGGCCCAAGGCGACCCATTCAAAAAGCCTTGATGTCGCTGCAAATGTGCAGGTGGACTCATCGGAGAGAAAGTTACTGAGCAAATACCGGCGTCTCGGCAAGTTATGAGCATGTCGTCAGCTTTAGGGTTTCGGGTTGAGGGTTTAGGGTTTAGGGTCAATTGAGACCGGGGTTTCTACTATCAGGGTTCGAAGAGGGGTCTTATTCGGGTTCTGATGGCTCCATAGTCCAAATTCCTGAATAGTACCCTTTGCACTTTTTCTTTCAGGGTCCCCTT